TGGGGTCCGTATTTTTTTTTTCTCAAAAATTTTCTAAATGACAATGAAGAATTTAAAGTCGATATTTGGTTGTGTAGATGAGGGTCGTAAAAAATGTTTGAAAAAAAAAATTTGACTGTGAGTCTATTTAGAAAAGCCCTCCGTTATATATATACATATATACCATCTTTTTCTGATGTTTTGCCCCCTTTTGCCCCCTTCAATGTTTAAGAAGGCTGTGGGCCCTATATACACGAATATTTCGGGTAAACCATAACAAGGCAGTGGAGGGCCACAATATATATGAAAAAGCCCCTAGAGAGCCCACAATGTGTTGTGCCATCAGTTTCAATGGATTTTCCTTCAACACACACACACACTTTTTCTCTCCCCTTCTCAAGAAAAAAAAATAATAATAATTCCCCTGGCGTGAATAGTTTAGTCAATATTTTTATTTCCCTTTATAGTTTTTCTTCTGTCTTCTGTTTATTTTATATATTTTTCTCTTTAGGTATTTTCCAATCGCAATCGTTTAGAGAATTATGTCTTCATTTTTGCGTTTATTGATATATTTGAGTTTGGTTTAGAAAAAAATTTTCAAAATGCAAACATTTCGAGTTAATTTGATGTATTTCTGTAAAATGTAAATATTAAAAAAATCTCTTCTCTATTACTATTTTGTTTTATTTAAATAGATACTATTAATTATTTAAAACTCAATTTTTTCGACAGCCTTAAAAATAAAAAAATACGAAAACGAAATTTTGCAGAAAAATGAAAGAGGTGAGTAAAAGAAATAAAATTTTAAAAAAATGGATAAATAAGTAAAACAGTTATTCAAAGCTCGAAGCTTTCGAAATAAATTTCTTCTTCTGCGGTTTGTTTCTTCCATAACCACACAAGAGAAGAAAAAAATTGCTCGCGTGCAATCGGGACAAAACTTGAAAAGAAAAAACCAAAAAGGAATTTTTTTATTATTATTTTTTTGGTTAGACCGCAACTGAAATTAAAGATGAATCGCGACTGAATCAAGAAGATAAAAGAATAAAAAGAAAGTTTATGGTTTTATTATATAAAAACGCTGATGGAATTGTACCCAATCACCTCTCGAGACTAAAGAAAAAAAATCGCATTATAGTCGCCAAAAAACTCGTTTCATCTTGTTTTTTTATTCAATTGAAAAAAAATTGTAAAAGGAAACAAATATTTTATAATCGTAAATAAAAACTAAAAATTACTTACTGTTTAGCATAAGAACAAAAATTTTCAATGAGTTTCCCGTCTATTATCTCGTTAGCCAAGGGGCCGGTAAAACAGAGTCGCGCGAAATTTGAATTTGTAATTGACAAAAACTTGTATTGACTAGTTTTTTTATTCAATCGACTAGGAAATTGAAATAAATGGAAAAAAATATTTTATAAACGTAGGAACAAAAGACTGAGAATTATTATTTGATTTAAATATAAAAATTATCAGTGAGTTTAATATCTACAATCTCCATAGGCAAGGACTGCATGTAGGGCTCGAACTAGGTCCTTTAAAAAAAAATTCTGTAAAATCCGAAATTTTAAACACTTTTACTGGTTCATGTCCTGCTCTATGCGAAAATTTCAGACTTCGACATCCACAGTGCAAAAATCACCAATGAGACTCCCATCTATAACCTAGTTAGTCAAGGGGCCGGTAAAACAGAGACGCGCGAAATTCAAACTGCATTACATCAATTTTCTTCAAATTCGAATAATTTCGAGCTAAAAAATTCCTAAAAAAGAAGAAAATGAAGAAGAAGAAGATAAATGACTGTCATTCAAACTGAAAAGCAGGAAACATATATCGAGTCTTTGAAAATGCATATGTAAAAGAAGGAAGTAACTGTGAAACGCTTTTAAAGAAATATTGCCGAGTGCCAAAAAAAAAAAAAAAGTAAAGCAATTGCCTACAAGAATAAGTGAGCGTCTTATTATTGGGCTGGTCACGAATCAGGTCAAAAGAATGACTAGCATATACATGTATTCGCCCCCATGGTGCCCCGTACAAAATGACAAACACACTTTTTTTCCTCCTCTCTCACTCTTCTAGCACGCAACAAAATATTCAAGAAACGTGTGTCGCGACAAAAGAAGAATCGTGCCATCACGTGCATTAGCACTGATATTCATCACTACCTCCCTCCGTCCTCCCATGGGGAGGGACAAGTATTAAAAAAAACCAAGTTCCAGAAGCCAAACACTACGGATGCTCTGCAAAAGTCAAAATCAAGACTAAAAACCATTCTTTGCCGTTCGTCTGGAAAAAAAAGAGAAGTGTATTATAAAATAACAATGGGGTGTCTGCTCGCGAGGTATATCTTTCAATCGAAAAAAAGAAAGGGGAACCCCGTTGCTTTCGTGGGCAAAGAATAAACCATGAAAGAACCTCGACGTGGCCACTGTCACAAAGATGTCTCCCCTGACAAAAATATTTAACAACAATCGTCATTGTATCATTTTGCAGGAGCGAGGGATGGAAACATTTCCTTTTCGAGAGAGAGAGAGATTCTGAGATGAAATCTCCCTTTGGAATTAGAGCATTGTTCGTTGAATGCCAGGGAGTCGCGAAAATAAAAAAAATAAATAAAATAAATAAATGGTTTTGAGACGTGTTCCTTAGAATGAAAGTGAGATACTTTTCAATTTAGGACTTTTATCGTCTTTTCGTTCATTGAATGGTTAAAATAGAAATGCGATTATCACGTAATAAAGGAAAATTTTCAACCCCACTTATGGTGGATTCAAAATTTGTCCTAATCTCCTAATTATCCAGAGAAGCAAATTCATCAGTTTGACAATGACTTAATAATGTTATTAAACAATTTTTCTTTTCAATTAATTCATTTTATTCTTTTTGTAAATAGCATTAATTTACTAAAAAAATCGTCTTCATATTTTTTTTTTTTTTGACACAGTTTTTCTGATATAAAATTGAGAAATAAATATTAATAGATGAATAGGTTATAATAATAGTTTTATATTCACTTGTGTTATCGAACAAATTTTAGAGTCAACCTCTAAATAACTTTCAAGAAGTTATTTTTAAATTCACAGACTATAAAATTTTTTGTTAATTGTTTTCTTTAATAGAAAAATAATATATTCATTTTTTCAATGCTGATGAAATGCAAATTTACTATGACGAAAGAAAAATCAAAATGTTACATCTGACTAAAAGTCGGACTAAAAACCTGCTCATTATATCGCTGTCTTTTGAATAAGTAGAAACTTTTCATTTAGACATTAGTTGAAATTGAAACTTTATAATTAAATAAAATGAAACAATATTTCAAATTCTTGGGTTTACTTTTAATTGCAGTGTGCATTTCAAGTGAAGAATTAAGAAATAAATTCGAACTGCCAACGAATTTAAAAACTACAAATGGTCAATGCCGTATGTAATATTTTTGAAATTTTCTTAATTTACAAACTTTACAAAAAAAATTCATTTCACGAATTTCGTTTATCTCTCGAAAACAAAATGTTACTTAAAATAAACTTTAAATTTCATTTCTGAAACCATTTCTATAATTTATAAATTTTTATTTATGAATGCAGAGCATTAAATTTTAGTTTTTAAATTTAAAAATTCTTGTAAAGAATTTCGAGAAAATTCTTTGTAAAACATAGGCTTCTTGCTTTTGAATTAGTAGATCACGGTTGCCACAAAAATTTAGTTGTTTTTTCCCTAACTTTTCCCTAATTTACAGACAAAATTTTTACTTTTTCCCTGATGCTAAAAAATATTCTGATTCGCACTCCAATAATTATTAGTTTATATTATATATAATTTTTTATTTATTTGATTTTAATTTATTTAAATTTAATTTTCGTTTAATTTTCCAAGTGAAAATTTGCTTAATATTGAAAATGTTATCAAAGTTTTTAATTAAAAAAAAAAATTGTTCTTAAAATCACATTTAAAAAATTTCTAATTCACATTTCTAATTTTTTTTTATGCTCTTGGCATAACGAAATTTGAAAGTCCCTTCTATTGTAGTGCAGTAATTTTGGAATTGTATAGTGATGAAAACGGCAAATATTATGTACATAGGTACTAAAAGTATAAATAATTAAAAACAACAAAAAATTAATTTAGTCTAAGGAACTAAAATTTTCTAATTAATATTTGTAACAGAAGTTTGTTAAAATGCTTTCATAAAAGAAATATTTTATTTTCTTACAGATTTTATATTATCAAGGAGAAACGAGTTAGGTTGAAATTCTACAAATACCCAATTGCACGTCACTGTGTGAATTAAGTAACTATCAGGAATTAATAAAAAATGTTATTCCCGTTGAGGAAATGTCAGAATGTTGTGATAATGGATCAGAACATTGTATTTTAAAATAAAGTTCGCCATTCTAAGTAATGTTCTCTTATAAAATGTAAACAAATATACATATGTACAGATCTATTACTATCATAAAAGAAACTTTGATCTTTCCGTGAAAAAGTAAAAGATTTTACAATTCAGTTAGAAATGTCAAACGAAAAAGAAATATTTATTAAAATTATTAGTAATATAAAAACAATAATAAAAAAATAAGTTTCTCGAATGTGTAAATTTCTAAAGTAAAAATAATCGTATATTAGGAAAAAGTTACTATAATTATAAAGTATAATAATTTTAAATAATTGTATAAATCATAAAATATTTGTAAATATAATATATTTCATTTATTAATAAATAAATAATAAATTGTTTTTTAATAGCAAATTCAATAAATTGTTTTATATTCATATGTGATGGTTAACAATTTTTAGTGACTTAACCTCCAAATAACCTTCAAATATTAAAATCTCTTAGATATCAAGTTTTTTCCATTTTTTTTAAAATTATTCGTAACGAATATTAGAAATATTAGAATATTAGAAATTATTGTTTTCAATAAAAGTTGAAAAGTTTACTCATTTTTTAAGTGCTGAAAAAATAAAAATTTATTATCGTGAAAACAATAAAAAAAAATGTCATATCTGACTAAAACGTGGAATTCTTTTCTTGGCATCTTTGTATTGTGCATTCGCAGTCTTTGGGATAAGAAAAATCTTTTCATATCTCCATATTTAAAAATTTATAATTAAATAAAATGAAACTATATCTTAAATTTTGGGGATTACTTTTAATTGCAGTGTGCATTTCAAGTGAAGAATTAGAAAATGAATTCGAACTGCCAAGGAATTTGAAACTACAAATGGTCAATGCCGTATGTTATATGTTTTTTTTTAATTTTCAATATTTGTAAACTTAAAAATAATTTCATTTAATAAATTTCAATTATCTCTTAATAAAAAGTAAATACTTTTTAAAAATTATAATTTATATAAGTTTTAATATAATGCTAAGTAGTAATAATAAAATAGAATTCGATAAAATTTTCTTTACGTTAATAATTAACAATAAAAGGTTTACAAATAATATTTAGTAGTCAAATGAACTTTGATTCGTTTGGTTAGTAAATATTATTGATTTATAATAATGGTAATGTTAACATTAATTAAATGGTGTTTCTTCCTTTTTTTTAAATGAATTCCAGATTAATTTTCTGTATAAATGTAAATAATTCTTTCTGAAAAAATTAAATATTTTACCATAGATTTTTAGACATGGAGATCGTACACCACAACCAATTTATAATGAGACGTATCCAAATGATCCATTTGCAAACGAGACTTATTATCCTCTGGGATTTGGGGCATTGACAAACGTAATTTACACTTATCTGAATTAAAATATTCGTTTACAATTATTTTATTCTATTTTTCATATTTTTTTTGTTAAATGATTCAGCATTATCTTTCATAAATCACAATATCTATCAATAACTTTGTAGGGCGGAAAATTAAGAGCCTTTGAATTGGGTACTTTTTTAAGGAGTAGATATAACGAATTTTTGGGTGCCACTTACATTCCTGAAGATATTACTCCCATAAGTACTTATATAGATAGGGCAAAAATGACCCTACTTGCTGTTCTAGCTGCTTTGTACCCTCCAGATGCAGTACAAAAGTGGCATCCGACTCTTAATTGGCAGCCAATACCAATAATTTATGAGAAAATTGATAACGATATTTTACTATTTTCTAGAAGATGTCCGAAGTACGTAAGCACCCTTTTAAACCACTTTCAAAAAATATATAAAGTAATTTAAAAAAAATTACTTAATATTTTTTTCGAAATTATTATCAATTACTCTTTTTAAGGTACAAAAAAATGTGGAAAGAAATTGAAGAATCAGAGGAAGTAAAGCAAATGTTTGGAAAATTCAAATCACTTACAAACAATTTGACAAATTTCATGGGAAAAAACATTACAACGCCCGCTGATGTATCTTCTGTTTATAATATACTTTCTTGTCACAAATCAATGAACCTACCGATTCCGAATTGGGCTGAAAAAATATTGGTAAATAATGATTTCCTAGAGGCTATTGAGATATTAGCAAAAATAGGCAACTACAATGATACAATGAAAAAAATTAATGGAGGTAAACTAAATTTTTGTTCTGCTAATTTGGTAATTATTTTGTATTGATTATAGTTTGAATTTCATGATTGTTAAATTTTTATTTCTATACTTCATCAGACAATTATTTAATTTTCAGGACCACTTTTGAAACAAATGACAAATGATATGATAGCCAAAAGGAGCGGAAAATTAAAGAAAGGAACGAAAATTAAACTTTACAGCAGTCATGACGTTAATTTATATGCTCATCTTTATGCTCTTGGCATAACAAAATTTGATCGTCCCTTCTATTGTAGTGCAGTAATTTTGGAATTGTATAGTGATAAAGAAGGCAACTATTACGTACAGGTACTAAAAATATAAATACATAAATAGAATAAAAATTAATTTAGTCTAAGGAAATAAATTGTCTAAGTATTTGTGACCCTAGTTTTTTAAAATGCTTTATAACGTAAATATTTTAATTTCTTAGATTCTATATTATAAAGGGGACACAAGTAGGGTTGAAATTCTCGAAATACCCAATTGTTCGTCAATGTGTGAATTAAATAAATATCAGGAATTCATAAAAAAAGTAATTCCCATTGACGAAAATGCAGAATGTTGTGGATCCGAACATTGTACTTTAATAGAAAGTTCGACATTCTGAGTAATGTTTACTTATAAAATGTAAACCAGTAATAAATTAATAAATATAACAATAAAAACTAAAATTGACTTCTTAAAATTTTATTAATTTCTTCCTTTTCCATCACATGATTAGGTTAACTAGCATTGATAAAACAATAACTATTTTTCATTAAGGCACAGGAAATATTACTAATTTTTATTAAAATATTACCAATTTTTTAGTAGTTTTAATATCGTTTACTTAAAAATTTAGTAACAGTGATAAAAAATGGTTCAAAATAACTAAAAGTTAAAAAACATTTAACATTCTGAATCAGTGTCTCCGCTAAATAGAATTCAGAGACATAAAAATTTATTCGATCCAAAAATATATGAATTTATTAGAATTCAAACATCATTAACAAAAATACATACAAAATTATTTCTATTACAAAAGAAACTTTGTTCTTTCCTTGAAAAGTAATCTAAAAGTTAACCTCCAAATAACCTTCACAGTATTACAATCTCTTAGATAGCAAGTTTTTTACATTTCTTTTTAAATAAAATTTTTAGCATTGAATATAAGAAATTATTGTTTTCTACAAAAGTTGAAAAGTTTATTTATTTTTTAAGTGCTGAAAAAATAAAAATTTATTACCGTGAAAAAAATGTCATATCTGACTAAAACGTGGCACTCTTTTCTTGGCTTCTTTGTATTCTGCATTCGAAATCTTTGGAATAAGAAAAAACTTTTAATTTCCTTATATTGAAAATTATATAATTCAATAAAATGAAATTATATTCTAAATTTTGGGGATTACTTTTAATTGCAGTGTGCATTTCAAGTGAAGAATTAGGAAGTGAATTCGAACTGCCAAGGAATTTGAAACTACAAATGGTCAACGCCGTATGTTACATAATCTTTTTTAATTTTCAATATTTGTGTATTTTCAATATTTATTTCAAAAATTTCGATTATCTCTTAATAAAAAGTTTTGACCTTCACCTATTATATTTAAATTTTAAAGAATAATGTTACTCGAAAGAAACTTTAATTTTACTTTTAAAACTATTTACATAATTTACAAATTTTTACTGATGAATGCAGAACATTAAACTTTAGTACTTATATTTAAAAATTCTTGTAAATCGTAAATCTGGTCAGCACCATATGGCAGTAAGAATTCCAAGAAGGAACTGAACTGCCATCTAGCGATGACTTTGGCGTTCGCAGGTGGAGTGTTGCATCTCCATATTGAATCTTCTGGATTTTGATTCTTTTGCTTAGTAAACATCATTGATTGATAATGTTAATGATAACATTAGCATTTTTTAAAAATGTTTTTCGTATTAATTTCCTGTACATTATTTTAGCATAAATGTAAAATATTTCTGTGTTTAAATTTTTAATTTTTTACGGCAGGTTTTTAGGCATGGTGATCGTACACCACAACCAATTTATGGTGAGACGTATCCAAATGATCCATTCGTAAATATGACCTATTATCCTCTGCGATATGGTGATTTAACAAACGTAATTTATACTTATTTCAATAAAAACATATTCAAAATTATTTTATTATAGCTTTCATAATTTTATTTGCTAAATAATTTAGTTTATCATAATTTAAAGACTAATTTAAAGAATATTTATTGATTTAAAGAGTCTAAATGACAGTATCAATTAATATCTTTGTAGGTTGGAAAATTAAGAGCCTTTACATTAGGCACTTTTTTAAGGAAGAGATACAACAAATTTTTGGGTGACTCTTATATTCCTGAAGATATTACTTCCATAAGTACATATATAGATAGGGCAAAAATGACCCTACTTGCTGTTCTAGCTGCTTTGTACCCTCCAGATGCAGTACAAAAGTGGCATCCGACTCTTAATTGGCAGCCAATACCAATACTTTTTGAAAAAATTGACGACGATTTTTTGCTGTTTTCTAGAAGATGTCCTAAGTACATACTTTTAAAATCACATTTAAACAAAAACATAAACTAAATTTTTCCTTATTGTAAGCATACATTTCAATTTATCTTTTTAAGCTACATAAAAATGTGGAAAGAAGTTAGAGAATCAGAGGAAATAAGGGAAATGTTTGTAAAAATCAAATCACTTACAAATAATGTGACAAAATTAACAGGAAAAAACATGACAAATCACAATGATTTATTCTCTCTTTCTAATACACTTTCTTGTCAACAATCAATGAACCTATCAATTCCGAATTGGGCTCAAGAATTATTAACGAATAATGAATTCCTGGAGGCTGTTGAAATAGTAACAAAAGTAATGAACTACAATGATACAATGAAAAAAATAAATGGAGGTGAATTTATTTTTCTTAATTTAATTTACCTTTAAAGGGTTATGTATTTTTAATTTATGTTTAGTATTAATTTCATGCTTGTTAAATTTTTTAATTTCTTTGCTATATCCGACAATTATTAAAAATTTTAGGACCTCTTTTGAAGCAAATGACAAATGATATGATAGCCAAAAAGAATGGAACATTAAAAGCAGGAAAGAAAATTAAACTTTACAGCGCTCATGATGTTAATGTCTCCGGACATCTTTATGCTCTTGGCTTAAAGAAATTTGAAAATCCCTTCTATTGTAGTGCAGTAATTTTGGAATTGTATAGTGATGAAGAAGACAACTATTACGTACAGGTATTAAAAGTATAAATAAATAAAAAGAGTAAATAATTTATTTAGTCTAAGTAACCAAATTGTCTAAATAGATACTTGTAACAGCAGTTTATCAAAATGCTTTCATAATAGAAATATTTTATTTTCCTAGATTGTATATTATAAAGGAGATACAAGTAAGGTTGAAATTCTAGAAATACCCAATTGTTCTTCAATGTGTGAAATAAATAAATATCAAGAATTAATAAAAAATGTAATTCCCATTGATGCAAATGCGGAATGTTGTGGATCAGAACATTGTACTTTAATAGAAAGTTCGACATTCTGAATACTGTTTACTTATAAAATGTAAACCAGTAATAAATTAATAAATATAACAAAAAGAAACTAAAAATTGACTGTTGATAATTGTAATTGTTTCCTTTTCCATTACATGATTAAGTTAACTAATATTAATAGAACTATTATTCATTAACATATAAGACACATTACCATTTGTCAATTGCAATGTTTGTTAAAGAATGCTAATTTTTTTCAGAAACAAATCGAAAATAGGATAAAGTAATGAATAAAAGCTATTAATTTTTATTGTAATGGATAAAATTTTAGTAAAAAATAAACTTTATTATAGTATGAAAGTAAATAAAAAAATATTTAAAAAATTAATAAAAAAAACTTTATGAAAACAAACAAACAAAAGCATATACAAAAGTCTAACTTTAGATATGGACAAAAAGAGTGAATGTAAAAATATGAAGAATATTATAGTTAATTAATAGTACATATATTGTTGCAGTAAAAAAAATTAAAAAAGAATAAAAAATAATATGCAAACAAAAAGAACAAAAGCATACACAAAAGTCTTATTTCATATGTGAACAAAAAGAATGAATGAAAGAATAGGAAGATAATTATTGTTTTCCACAAAAGTTAAAATGTTTATTCATTTTTTAAGTGCTGAAGAAATAAACACAATGTCATATCTGACCAGAGAGAAACTGAGAGTAGGCACGTAATGGGAATGAGTTGTTTCATTCCTAGCAGCTAAAAGTTGTACTTAGGGGTGTAGTTTGAAGTTTAAATTTCGCGGGTTGCTTTGATTGGTTAAGACATTTTTCCTCCCTCGAAAGTTATACGCACACCATCGGAAGTACCCCAATACTAATGAATATTTAGTGTACATAAACCTAACCGACCATTTCCGATCGTATTCGGCCAACACCGTTACACCCCTAAAGTACCACTGTTGACCGTTAGGAATAGAACTCATTCCCATTTACGTGCCTACTTTCAGTTTCTCTCTGATCTGACTAAAACGTGCCATTCTTTTCTTGCCATCTTTACACTGTGTTCACAATTTTTAGAATAGGAAAAAACTTTCAATTTCTCCATATTTAAAGTATTATAATTAAATAAAATGAAATTATATTTTGAATTTTGGGGATTACTTTTAATTGCAGTGTGCATTTCAAGTAAAGAATTAAGAAATAAGTTTTCACTGCCAAGGAATTTGAAACTACAAATGGTCAACGCCGTATGTTACACATAATCTTTTCTAATTTTCTATATTTGTAAACTTTAAAACAATTTGGCATGCCAACAATTTCATTTTATAAATTTCGATTATTTCTTAATAAAAAATTTTTACCTATACACTGGAACCCCGCTCGAGTGACTGTTTACAAAGCATTTATTTAGAGCGGGGCTCTAGTGTATAAGTTTTATATAACGATAATAAAATTAAATCTTTTATTTCACTTAATAACTTGATTAAATTAAATAAATTAAATTCTGTAATTTTTTTCCAAATAAAACTTAGAAATATTAATACTTTTCTAATATCAATATTTTCATAACATTTGAAACATAATTTTCACGACAAGATTATGCTTATTATTGTAAAAATGTCATCAAAGTTTTTATTGAAAAACACTGTAAAAAGAAAGTCTTATTTTAAGGCAGGAAAGTGCCCTTAAATTAATATGCAACATTTTTAAGGCAGTATGTGCTGAATTTACGCACGTATTTTGTATCCTTTAACATTATAACAGACAGTGCTGAATTTAAGACCGATCTTAAATTAAGATTTACTTTTTACTGTGAAATAAATAAATTATTCTCAAAATAACATTTTTAACTAAAAAAAATTTTTTAATTAATTTTCTTTTATCAACGTTAAATTTTAGCACTTGAGAACTCCAAAGTCACCACCAGATGGCAGTAATATTAAATCTTCTTAATTCTGATTCTTTTGCTTAGTAAATATTATTGATTAATAATTTTAATGTTAAAATTAATTTAATTGCTGTTTTTTTTTAATGTATTCCGTATTAATTTTCTGTTCGATATTTCAGCGTAAATGTAAAATATTTCTCAGTAAAATTTATTTATTTTTTACGACAGGTTTTTAGACATGGAGATCGAACACCACAACCTATTTATGGTGAGACGTATCCAAATGATCCATTTGCAAACATGACCTATTCTCCTCTGGGATATGGTGCTATGACAAATGTAATTTACATTTATTCCAATTGAAACATATTCAAAATTTTTCTATTGTAGTTTTTTTTCAAATGTTATTTACTAAATAATTTGGTTTATAATAACTTTAAGACTAATTTAAAGACTCTTTACTACTTTACAGATTTAAGATCTTTAATTAATGACAATATCTATAATTAACTTTGTAGATTGGAAAATTAAGAGCCTTTAGATTGGGTACTTTTTTAAGGAGGAGATATAATAAATTTTTGGGTACCACTTACATTCCTGAAGATATTACTTCTATAAGTACATATGTAGATAGGGCAAAAATAACCCTTCTTGCTGTTCTAGCTGCTTTGTACCCTCCAAATTCAGTACAAAAGTGGCATCCAACTCTTAATTGGCAGCCAATACCAATACTCTTCGAAAAAGTTGAAGACGATTTTTTACTATATTCTAGAAGATGTCCTAAGTACATACTTTTTGAATTACTTTTAAATAAGGACATAAATTTAATTCTTCCCTATTTTATCCATAAATTAAAATTTTTCTTTTTAAGGTACACAAAAATGTGGAAAGAAGTTGAAGAATCAGAGGAAATAAAGCAAAGGCTTGGAGAATTCAAATCACTTACAAACGAACTGACAAAATTAACAGGAAAAAACATTACAAATCTCAGTGATATATTTTCTCTTTCAAATTTACTTTCTTGTCAACAATCGATGAAACTACCGATTCCAAAATGGGGTAAAGAATTATTGATGAATAATGAATTCCAGGAGGCTGTTCACATAACAGAAAAAGTGATGAACTACAATGATACAATGAAACAAATAATTGGAGGTGAATTCAATTCTTTATATATAATTTATGTTTAGAGGGTTATGTATTTTTAATTTATGTTTAGTATTACTTTCATGCTTATTAAACTTTTTATTTTCTTTGCAATATCCGACAATTATTACAAATTTTTAGGTCCACTTTTGAAACAAATGACAAACGATATGTTAGCCAAAAAGAACGGAACATTAAGAGAAGGAAAGAAAATGAAACTTTACAGCGCTCATGATGTTAATGTCTATGTACAACTGTATGCTCTTGGCATAGAAAAATTTGAAAGTCCTTTCTATTGTAGTGCAGTAATTTTGGAATTGTATAGTGATAAAGAAGGAAACTATTACGTACAGGTACTAAAAATATAAATACATAAAAAGAATAAAAATTAATTTAGTCTAAGGAAATAAATTGTCTAAGTGTTTGTGTCCCTAGTTTGTTAAAATGCTTTATAACAATAATTTTTATATTCTTAGATTCTATATTATAAAGGGGACACAAGTAAGGTTGAAATTCTAGAAATACCCGATTGTACGTCAATGTGTGAATTAAATAAATATCAGGAATTAATAAAAAATGTAATTCCCATTGATGCAAATGCGGAATGTTGTGGATCAGAACATTGTACTTTAAAAGAAAGTTCGACATTCTGAGTAATGTTTACTTATAAAATGTAAACAAATAAAAAAGAATAAATATATCAAAAGTAAACTAAAAATTGACTTTTGGAAATTTTTAATTACTTCCTTTTCCTTTACATGATTAGGTTAACTATTATTGATAAAACTAACTATTTAAGGCACAATGCACATTACTAATTTTTTATAAATATAATATTAATGAAACAATATTTTTAGTAAATACTAATAATAATAATTTGGTAATATTTTTAATAAAGTATTACCCATTTTTTAATAATTTTAATTTCGTTTACTTAACGATTTTTAGTGAGTTAACCTCCAAATAACCTTCAAGTATTACAATCTCTTAGATAGCGCGTTTTTTTCATTTCTTTTTAAATAAAATTTGAAACTTTAAAGAATATTAGAAATTATTGTTTTCCACAAAAGTTGAAACGTTTATTTATTTTTTAAGTGCTAAAAAATTTATTGTCTTAAAAAAAAAATTGCATATCTGATTAAAACGTGGCATTCTTTTCTTGGCATCTTTGTATTGTGGGTTCGCAATCTTTGGAATAAGAAAAAACTTTTAATTTCTCCATATTTAAAATTATGTAATTAAATAAAATGAAAATATATTTTAAATTTTGGGGTTTACTTTTAATTGCAGTGTGCATTTCAAGTAGAGAATTAAAAAATAAATTTGCACTGCCAAGGAATTTGAAACTACAAATGGTCAACGCCGTATGTTACATAATCTTTTTTAATTTTCAATATTTGTAAACTTTAAAATAATTTAATTTCATAAATTTCGAAAGTGTCAATTATCATCTCCATATTGAATATCAATGCAACAATACTTTATGTCAAAATTTAACAATAAAAGATTTACAAATAATATTTATTTAGCAAATGAATTTTGATTTGTTTGCTTAGTAAATATTATTGATTATATCAACAACAACAACAACAACAACAATATTATTGATTAATGTTAACATTAATTTAATGGTGGTTTTTTAATTAATTCCGTATTAATTTTCGGTTTGCTATGTCAGTGTACATATAAAAATATTTCTGTGTAGAAATGTTTAATTTTTTACCGCAGGTTTTTAGACATGGAGATCGTACACCAAATCCACTTTATAGTGAAACGTATCCAAATGATCGATTTGTTAACGAGACGTATTATCCTATAGGTTTTGGGGCTTTGACAAAAGTAATTTACATTTATTTTACACTTATCTTAATTGAAACATGTTCAAAATTGTTTTATTATAGTTTTTCATATTTTATTTGATAAATAATAATTTAAAGACTAATTAAATAACTAATTTAAAGTTTTTATGTAAGGTAACTATTTACAATTTTACAGGTGGGAAAATTAAGAGCCTATAAATTAGGTAAATTTTTAAGGAGGAGATATAATACATTTTTGGGTACAACTTACATTCCTGAAGATATTACTCCTAGAAGTACACACATAGATAGGGCAAAAATGACCCTACTTCTTGTTCTGGCTGCTCTGTACCCTCCAAATTCAATCCAAAAATGGCATCCAACACTTAAGTGGCAGCCTATACCGATAGATTATCAAAAAATTGACGACGATATTTTACTATTTTCCAGAAGATGTCCGAAGTACGTCTGTTCACTCTTTTAAATTATTTTGAAACAAAAATATAAATAATTTTTTTTTTGAATTTACACATTTTTGTATTTTTTTCAATTTTTCTTTTTAAGGTACAAAGAAATGTTTAGCGAAATTGAAAAATTGGAAGAAGTAAAGGAAATGTTTGGAGAATTTAAATCACTTACACGCAAACTGACAGAATTAACGGGAAAAGATATTACTACTCCTACTGATGTATTTTCATTTTACAATTTACTTATTTGTCAAAAATCAATGAAACTACCGATTCCGAATTGGGCTGAAGAATTATTGGCGAACAATGAATTCCTAGAGGCTGTTGAAGTATTGGAAAAATTGAGGAACTATAATGATACGATGAAAAAAATGAATGGAGGTAAAATTTTTTTTATTAAGAGCTTTTAAACCATTATAATGTTACAGTTTTATAAAACATGCTTTCAACAAACTGTGCGGTCTTTATGCTGTTAAATCCTTTTTTTAGAAAAGAATTTAATCATTATATTGTTTAGTTTCTAAAAACTTTTTTGGGTTGTTAAACACCAAAAAAAGTTGCATTCTTTTTTGAATGAGACAATTATTAAAATTTTAGGACGACTCTTGAAACAAATGACAACAGATATGATAGCCAAACAGAGTGAAAAATTAAAGGAAGGAAAGAAAATTAAACTTTACAGCGCTCACGATGTTAATGTTTATGGACAACTTTATGCACTTGGCATATCAAAATTTGAAAGTCCCTTCTATTGTAGTGCAGTAATTTTGGAATTGTATAGTGATAATGAAGACAACTATTACGTGCAGGTACTAAAAGTATAAATAAATAAAAATAATAAAGAATTATTTTAGTCTAAGTAACCAAATTGTCTAAATCTGTACTTGTAACCCCACAATTTTCTCAAAATGCTTTCATAAAAGAAATATTTTATTTTTTTACAGATTCTATATTACCAAGGAGAAACAAGTAAGGTTGAAATTCTGAAAATACCCAATTGTACGTCAATGTGTGAATTAAGGAAATATCAAGAATTATTAAAAAAAGTAATCCCCGGTGAGGATGAGTTGGAATGTTGTGACAATGAATTAGAATATTGTTCTTTACAAGAAACTTCATTTTTCTGATCTTTCTTCGATTTATAAATTATGTTTACTTATAAAAATGTAAACAAACAAATAAGTGAATAAATGTCACTGAAACTGAAATGGACTTTTTTAAATGACCTTCTTTTCTTTCTCGTGTGAAATTTTACTAGTTTGCAACAAAATATTAATATGTCTTTATTAAACAGCAGCAAACATCAAATAGTCCATTAAAAATGATAAAACATCCTTAACATTATGAATCTGTGTCTGAATCATCACTAAATAGAATTAAGAGACTTAAAAATTTGTTCGATTCAAAAATACAGCAACTCATTGAAATTCAAACATTATTAACAAATATACATACAAATCTATTACCTTCATAAAAGAAAATTTCTCCTTTCCTTGAAAAGTAAAAGATTTTACAACTTAGTTACAAATGCCAAACAAAAATAACGACAGATTTTCTCACTAAGGACATATATATGTACACTAAGGAGCAAACTAAGGACACATCCGAGTTAAAGCCTCTATATAAGAAATATCTCGTGCTGTTTTCCCTAAAGTAAACTTTTTACTCCCCCGTGAATTGACGCTGGACCCTTTAACAAAACAAAATTACAATGACATGGTCATTTCGTGTTTCACTAGGTTGTAAGAAGATGTTACGTATTATTTACAAGTTGTACGACAACCAATTCATAGGCATTGTTAAATGTTCGCCAACAGAGTCTTCTACCACCCACCATGAGCAGATGCATCACTGGTAGGAGACTTTTATTTATTTTTTCTTCTTATTTTCAAAAATCACTTAAATTGGTTTGTCAAAAAAATAGCTCACTCTCTAACTCCAGCTGATTGGCTATTCATGATTTTTGCCCCAACAAATGTCATCTACAAAGTGGTTTTGGTGAGCTTGTTTGCAAAGTCGCGGACATTTTCTGGTTTCTCGTGTACAATATTTATTGACGAAGGACATTTAAAGTCATTTTATACCGGGAATTCGTTTTTGTTCGAGAATATAGAAACATCTGGATCTTTTCAAAAAAAAATTATTGTTTCTTCAATATAGTGTGAGAAAAGAAATTTTGAAATTATTCTTCGAATTTTTTTTGTCTTCTTTTTGGAAGATATTTTTATGTTTTAAAACTGTTATATTTCTTGTAACTTATTTATGTACTTCAATTCTGATTTTTCTATTTTTAGTCTGGATTTCTTGTAATAATTGTATTAGAGTTTTACCTTCTCGAACTAAAATTATAATTTATTCAAGTTCTTTTTGAAATAATAAAGAAGTAAAAAAAATAGAATTTACTACTTTTTTTACGATCTGTTGCTATTTGAAATTTTTTTTTCAGATTTGTGACACTAAAAGTTCTATCTATGTGTGAGAATTTGCACTACTTTAAATTCGCTAATCGTTGAAATAGAAAAATTATTTTCAAACATTTAAATAAAATTATCTGCAAACATTCAATTATTTTCGAAAATAATACAATTTCCACAGGAATTAAATTACACGGAAAAAAATATTCACCTGGAACAGCTACAAATTTTGCTAGATTAGCCAAATGTTTAGTTGTTTCAGTTAAGACTTTCACTATTTTAGAGAAACTTATCGCTGTTCCAGATAAAATTTTTTTTCCGTGTATTTAAAGCAATATTTTCATAAAATTTTTCGAAAAAATTCAATTATTTAAAAATATTTTTATAAAATTCTTTGCAAAAAATTCAATTATTTTAATAACTATTTAACTAATAACTCATCGCAGGAATTCAATTATTTTTTATGAAATTTTAAATAAATTCCTGGAAAGATGTAATTATTCTTAAAAATTTTATTAAAATTCTTCAAAAGAATTAAATTATTAAAAAAAAATGTTTCATAACATTATCTGCAAACATTCAATTATTTTCGAAAATAATAAAATTTTCACAGGAATTAAATTATTTAAAACAATATTTTCATAAAATTTTTCGAAAAAAATCTATTATTTAAAAAGATTTTTACAAAACTGTTAAAAAGAATTCAATTATTTAAAAAAATTCATTAAAGTTCTGCGGAAGAATACAACTTTTTTTATAAATAATAAAATTCCTTAGAGGATTTTAATTATTTAAAAGAAATTTTAAGAAAATACGTTTCAAAAATTCAATTATTTTCATAATTAATGCAACGCGTCACAGGTTTTCAATTATTTAAAATTTTTTAAATAAAATTCGTTGCAAAATTCTTTTCAATTGTCACATTTTGAGGAACAATAATCCCCCTTGAATTTGTGACCAAGAAATAAAACTTTGGTCTAAAATTGTTCGAGTTATGAATTTTCTTTCGATTTTTTTTCAATTTTTTTTCAATTTTCGTTTTTCTGATACGGGCGGGTGGGAACGCTGGCTATCAAAAATTTATTCAAAAAATTCTAAATTGTCACATTTTAAGGAGCAATAATCTCTCTTTAATTTGTGACCAAGAAATAAAAAATTGGTCAAAAATTGTTCAAGTTATGAATTTTTGTTGAACTTTTCTTTTAATTTTCGTTTTTCTGATACGGGCGGGTGGGAACGCTGGCTATCAAAAATTTATTTAAACAATTTTCAATTGTCACATTTTAAGGAGCATTAATCCCCCTTTAATTTGTGACCATGAAATAAAAATTTGGTCTAAAATTGTTCGAGTTATGGATTTTTTTTCGATTTTTTTTCAATTTTCGTTTTTCTGATACGGGCGGGTGGGAACGCTGACTATCAAAAATTTATTTAAACAATTTTCAATTGTCACATTTTAAGGAGCATTAATCCCCCTTTAATTTGTGACCATGAAATAAAAATTTGGTCTAAAATTTTTCGAGTTATGAATTTTTTTTCGATTTTTTTTCAATTTTCGTTTTTCTGATACGGGCGGGTGGGAACGCTGGCTATCAAAAATTTATTCAAAAAATTCTAAATTGTCATATTTTAAGGAGCAATAATCTCTCTTTAATTTGTGACCAAGAAATAAAAAATTGGTCAAAAATTATTCAAGTTATGAATTTTTGTTGAACTTTTTTTTTAATTTTCGTTTTTCTGATACGGGCGGGTGGGAACGCTGGCTATAAAAAATTTATTTAAAAAATTTTCAATTAGCACATTTTGAGGAACAATAATCCCCCTTTAATTTTCGACCAAGAAACAAAAAATTGGTCAAAAAGTATTCAAGTTATGAATTTTTGTTGAATTTTTTTTACAATTTTCGTTTTTCTGATACGGGCGGGTGGGAACGCTGGCTATCAAAAATTTATTTAAAAAATTGAAAATAATTGAAATTGGGATAAGAATTTTTTTTGACATTTATGAAAATAATTTAACTTTGGAGAAGAATTTTGTTATTTATAAAGATAATTGGGATATTTACGAGAATTTTTTTTTCAAATTTTGAACATAGTAGAATTTTATTTTTCTTTCTTAAAATAATTGAATTTCTGCAATTACTTGTAATTTCTTCAAAATTAAATTTTTTTAGTGTTTTCAACAAAAATTTAAATTAGAAAATTTTTAAAATTGCTAATTTTATTTAAAAATGAATTTCGAGGAATTCCTTTAAAATTGTATTAAAAATAATTGGAATCCTGTGATGAGATTTATTAGTTATGAAAATAATTGAATTTTTTTTAGTGCATGCAAAATGAATAATTTACATTTTTAGTCTTTACTGTATTAGTCAGTAATTTTCGAAAATATATTTAAAAAGAACATTTCGTATATAAAGTAAAAATTCGATAGAAGAAAAATTGGAATTCGTGATTAAGTATATAATTTAATAACGATTGGAAAAATTATAGAAGAAAGAGGAGACCACGTCATTCAACTAAATTAACCATCCACCATCCCTCTAATTTTGACCTCAAAACTTAATTAAGAACCAATATATCCTATACATTCTGTAAAAGCCGAATACTAAAAGGAAATGATCCGACAAAAGGATCTGGAAGCCAATATATATATGACAACCGAAAAAAGAATACAATAAAAAAAATTAAAGAAAAAAATATATATAGAAAGAAGAAGAAGGAGAGGAAAAATAAATCCCACCTCGTGATTAACACCGGATTTTATCTAAAGGTCCATTTCTTTTTTGGAGACCGCATGCTCATTACACTCTCATCCCAAGAGTCTGTAATTCGGTCTTTCGTCTTTCCTTTCTCGCACCTGCGAAAATGATGACGAGAGAACTTAAAAGGATTTTTGCCGTTGAGAATATTGTCCTCTCGTCTCGCACTAGGAGTGTCACTTTTCACGCCCACAAAGCAAAGGGGAGGGAGGGAGGAGATTTTCGGGAAAAAAAGAAATTTTTCGCCAAAAGACAATAGACTATACGAGAGAGATGAGGCGTTATTTTAATGAACCTGAAAAAATTACTATATTCGAGAAAAGTGACCATTTTCTTGGTCTTTTGTGGTGGAGACAAAAATTCCACCTACCGTGACACTGGACCGCCCTTAAGTGTTATTATTTTTCCCCCAAAAAATAATTAAAGTCCAGTTTTAACACCCTAAAAACTCAATTTAAATGAGTTTTGTTTCTCATTATTATAATTATATAGTTAACGGTTGGGAATTTATTTTAATTATTACCTATACGAAATTCAAAGAGTGACCGTGAATTCGTAACGGTAAAAGGACACTAATTTTGAAAATTTGGCCAAAATTTGAAGAAAGATCCAAAATTTCAAAACCATTTCATTTAAAAAAAAACATTTACAATTTTTAAGATTTATTTTCTTAATACGAGACGCAATATTATTGCAAAAAATATTTTCCATTTGAAAAAGAAATAAATAAATTTCGTTCATTTGAACATTCAGAATTAAAAATTAGGAAAATTTATTAAATTAAAATTTAAAAAACAATTTTATTTGTTAAAATTCTGAACATTCAAGTGAGAAATTTTTTTTGATTAAATATATTTTTAAAAATAATAAAATTTTCACTGGAATTCAATTATTTAAAAGTTAAAACACAATTTTTATAAAATTTTTCAAACAAAAATCAATTATATAAAAAGAATTTTACAAAATTTTTTTAAAATTTTATAAACTTCTTCGTAAGAATACAATTATGTTTATAAACATTAAAATTCATTAT